TCCGACACATTCTAGGTGTGTCCGGGTTAAAAAAAAAAAACTTAAGCCAGACACATGTGACAGCTATTTCATATTTTAAATTAAAAAAAAAGAAAAAAACACCTAATAAGCCGGTTCACAGGAAATATCCTTAATCCCACGTTTCATTCATTCGAGCAATATCGAGAGAGTCGCGAAGCCGAGGCTCCAGCCCGCACCGTCGAGAGGAGTCGCCTTCAGCTTCCGGCTGTCCCGAGCCGGCGAGCTTCCAACCATCCCGAGCAGGTGAGCTTTCGGCCCTCCCGAGCAGGCGAGCTTCCGGCAGTCCCGAGCAGAGGAGTCGCGCAGCCGATCGAGGCTCCTGCCCGCACCGTCGCCTTCAGCTTCCGGCTATCCCGAGCAGGCGAGCTTCCGGCCGTCCCGAGCAGCCGATCCAGATAACGGATCTAGATTTTTCTGCCATTCGTCATTTCTCTGCAAGTTTGACCTAGAATTTTTTTTGCCATTCGTCATTTCTCTCAATTTTTTCTCATTTATCATATGGATTTGTGTTCACTAGAGCACGTTAATTTTTTCTTAAATTACTTTGATTGTTTTGGGTTTTGGAAAAAAAAACTAAATCAAACCCTAGTTTATAGGATATGCGATTATTCTTGTTTTACCTAAATTAAACCCTAGGTTGTAGATTGTTTAGTTGGCCATTGATCTCTTTTAGACCATCTAATCACTTTGTTTGTAAATTAAGAACAAATCCCAACTCCTCACATTGGGTATTATGTTATTTTTTTCACGTCATAAATTGAAACAAACTACTTCGATCTGCTAGAAATATGACATAATGTAACAAATATCATTGAATCAAACAATCTCATTAGTTCTTGTTTTTCAACCCCTTATATAACACCTATAGGGTGCATTATAAACCAAACTGTAAAGTTAGACATGAAAATAGTCTAATTTTCTTTTTATTTGGTCAAGCAAATTAATGCATTCCTCTCAATAAACTTTATTTACCCATTTCATGTCTTATGATAATTACCATCTAAATTTGATAACTTCCTTTTCTTCCTTCATCTTAGACCATCTATTCGTTCTTAAGATATCTCAGGATTATATTTTTAAGACCAGAGAGTATTGCCTATTGTGGCACATCAAATGAGTACGACCACCAACATACTAAGGCACAACTTCGTCTGAAATGATTAAGTCATCGTTATATCTTAGCATCAAACGAACTACATTACTACCCATTTCAATGTAAGTTTTGTTGAAAATCACTTGTTGGACTCAATGGTTAATGAATGTGTAATCCAAACCTAACAAAATTTACAATCCAATGAGCAGTTCACAAAAAATTCATAAAATACCGGTAGCATTTCTGACAGCTCAATAACTGGCGAAAATTCTGTCGAGTAAGCCGACGGATAAACCTTCGGTAAAAAAATGCAACTTGAGAACTGTAAATTCCGACGATTACTGGGCTTCCAAAAATCCCGCCGGTTTATCATATATTTGATGTAGTAATAGTCGGATTGACCGCCGGTTTTAAGTGAAATATTTCTGGCGGCTATAGCCATCAAAAATTTCGCTGGCTTGAGCCATATTTTCCCCTGACCCGCTCTTCTTCCTCATTTCAACGCATCTGCTCATTTTGTTCCATCCCATAGCCCTCTCGTTGCTGCAGATCCAACTGAGCTTTCGCCCTACCGACACCGGTGTTGATCTTCATCTCCCTAGCCCCAGGTGATGATCAACTCTTCTTCCTTGTTGTACTTACTTTCCGTCTGCCCTAGGCGACACATTCCATCCGCCTTAGCCGACGCCGATATGGTTTTAACAAATTTCATGTTTTTGAAAACTTATTTTTAGAAATCAGACAAGTAGGAGTAATCAATATCACTAAGACCAAGGATTAATATGGAGTTAATAAAGTCAAGCCTAAGTCCTCAATTTATTTGCATGGTCATAATGATAAATATTGTTAAGGTAAAGTCAAACCTAATTTAGAGATCTTATGATAATTCATTCTTTAAGATGTTATTTGTTGTTTCGTTGCAAACTTCATTGTCAGTTGCCAAAGCAATTAATAGAAAGAGAACTCATGTAGAAGTTATTGCTTTGAAGTTTTCTTGTTTGAATACTTAATACTCATCCATGGTTTAAACATGATTATTGCTGGAACAATCCCTAAAATATTGAGGTTCCTAATTTGTTTTGAACCATCATATACACAAGCATATGTTGGGCCAATTTAGCTAATTATGATCAAAACATGCCTCAAAAGTAACCCCATAAAGATATTTAGATTTAAGAACTGAGATTTAAGTAACACTATGTTTCAAATTTGTTTAACAAGTTGAACTTTATGTTTTGTTATTTTTAAAACTCTGTTTAATTTGAATTTTATGTTTTGCACTGTCTGAGCATTTATTGATAATGAACATTGTGTTACTATATTATATTTTGTTCATATTATTCAGTTGTTGTGCATGTATAAAATGTGGAAATGTGGTCGGACATAGAGGGGCTGTCAATTTTTTTTTCAAATGCTAAATGTTTCCGGCGACTTATCGGTCGATTAGAAACCTCAATATCATACGATAAATTGGGCCCCCGGTATACAATAAAAACCATCAAAAATTATGAGGGGTCTGGCCACCCGAAATAAGCGGCGATTAATGTCGCTGATAATACCGCCGAATATTTCCAGCGGTTCTTTTGTGGTGTGCTTGTTGGTGATGACCGGCGGCTAGACAGCTGGATAATCTGTCGAAAATTTCCTACGGATATTCTGGGTCAACCGCCGAACTAGCCAGAACCTAAAATTGTCAGAAAGCTGCCGTAAATGAGCCACCGATTCTCTTTTTCTACGCTTCTTTTGTTGGCAAAAAAATATCCGCCAGAAAGCCACTAGAAAACATAATTTCCATCAAAATTCGCCAGTAAGGGACAATTTTCCCATAGTGCTTATTATTAAACTAAATCTATGATGTTTGTCTCCTTGCTGTAAACACCAAATTTTCCTTATTTTCAAAAGAAAAAAAAAACAGTAAACTTCCCTAGAAAATTTGGCCAAGTTGACAACTCGCTTGAACATGGAAGTTGTCAAGTGTCTTGTTGGTGGTTGAGCAATATTAGATTCTAATATGGCTTTAACTACGGTTGATGTAGCTTTTGAATTATTTGTTTTATAATTTCTTAAATAGAGAAAACTCAATAATCGATTATGGCTTCCAATGCAACAAATTATAAGTAGCAATTATCGTACCATAAGCTTTATAAAATAAATAAGTCAATTATCTTGTTACATCCAGCTATTATAATATAGCATATTTAACTATGAAAATTTTATTTTGATCATAAAAAAATAATAATAATAAAAAAACACATGTACTACAAAATTCTAAGACTGAAAAATTGCATCAACCTTAGTGAGACTTAATTTTTTTTCTAAGTTGATTATTATTAATTATTTTGAGAGCGTTTAATTTATCATCTAATCTTAAACTCTGCAACAACAAAAACCAAAGGTAAAAAATAAATAAATAAATAAAGCAATTGTATATGTTGATTTAGCATGAGAATTTGTTGAAGCTTGGCTCTTAATTTATAAATGATTAATAATTGGCCAACGTAATGGACATGAGATGTTGCATAAGTCATATCCAGCACAATTTAGATTTCATTTGAGACGATTTTCTTACTGCTTATTGTACTAAAAAACTTCTTTAAGTAGTAAGAATATCATCCTAAACTATAAGCCTCATTATGTTGTCTTGTAAACTTTTCGGCGATTTGATTTTTGAAAATCCTGCATTTCATAATTTTGATTCTACAAAAAATAAGGAAAGTACAATAGATATTATCAAAGATTTATAGCTAAATCTATTGGGATCTCAAACAAATATTTGAATTAGAACTTTCTCGTTTAACATTTGATAGAACACAACACACAAACTAAATATTCAAGCAATACGAACAAAAAAATTTTCATAAAAAAAGAAAGAAGTTCATCCAAAGTTTAATGGAAACCAAGAAAATCTATCAAATTTTGTTGACGGAAAATGATTTCAGTTATACGCTTCACCAAATAAGCTCTTTAGTCGCAACAAAATTAAAATAGTTTGAAAATTTTATGAGAAGTATGGAAGGAGAAGGTGAAAACAGATAATAGAGAGATTTGGGAGGCTTAAATAACCCTTCTTCTAATGATAGCCCAATGGCTACCCCACTTTAAAAAAAAAAAAATCACAAAATCGCCATGTAACGGGTAATTTTGACCACATGGCAGTCCAAATCACCACGTGTAGGGCGATTAGATCTTTTTTTCACATTTGAAAATTTCCAGTTTTCTTATTTAATTTTTAAACATATCCTGTTTTAAAAAATCGCCTTTACTGTATTGTTGTTATGTTCAAACATCTAAAATTATCAATTCAAGCATTCAGCTCATCTTTCCAGCTCCCAGGGCAGCCACCATCTCCACCATTCCTACCAAAGGAGATCGAGTCCTCCCCAAAAATTTGTACCTTTTTAACAAACAATAAACCTTTCTCACATGCTTACATAACCAATAATTTAATCCTTAAATAACATTTTTATGACGATATAAATTATCATTAGATTATAAACAATTAATCACTTGTTCAATTTGAAAACTTATTCACACCTGCTCTAGATTTAAATTTGAAAAAAATAAGATCAAAATAATCCATTGACTCTTTATAAAAGATCAAAATAATCCCCTACTATATTAAAGAATTATTTTGGTCTTTCAATGTTTTTAAAGAGGAACCAAAATAATCTCATTATAGTCTATTTTGATTCATTTTTAAAAACTTAAGTAATCAAAAGTCATTTAATATAATTAGGACTCATTTTGATCCATTTCTCAATTTTTAATATTAGTTTAATCTTGAGGAGCTGTGCTCATCCTGAATGGGAAAGAATAACAATAGCATTCATTTGGCAGTTTTTTTTTTTCCAAAAAATTGACTGCATAGTTCGAGTTTGAATGAAAATGTGCGATCAGAACTCATTCATACAAGCTCTATAATTTTAAATAAGTTTCTAATTTTTAGATTGTAAAATAACAGGATTATGCTTCCTAGACATTAAACCCACTAAAAGACAAAAAATGAACTCAGCCAACTATGAATATCACCAAATTTGCTCATAAGAAAAAGAAATTATTTCATATAATGAGAAGCAACTCACCAAAAAAATTTTGAAATAAAAAACTAACCTGCAGACCGATGACTTGAACATTATTAGAATGTGACCAATTTCTGTAGCTATGACACAGAAGCAGTGTCTGCCTCTATTTCTTGCGGGCGCCACATTTTCTTCTGCATAACAAGCAAGCCCTCAGGCTCCTTCGAGTATGTCAGTCTGATATCCCAATGGAGAGATTTTAGAATGTTTTGGACTTCAGATATTGTTTGCATGTCGTCCCTAACAATCAGAATCCCTTGAGGTCTCAGTATTCGGTCCACCTCGACGATAACAGGCAACAGGTTGCACCTTGCAAGATTATCACAGTGGAATAAAATTGTGAATATATTTATTATCTAATACACATGTAATATGCATACTAAATCTTTATACTTAACAGCACCCTAATCTCAAACGAATATAAAAAAAATATTAATATTAAACTATCTAAAATAACGAGAATTTGACTTTTAATAGGACACAATGGAGAAAAAGGATTCATGTAGCCGACCCCGCGTAGTGGGATAAAGGCTTGATGTTGTTGTTGTTGTATTAAACTATCTAAAATAACATATATATTTTCATGAATACTTTTTAATGTCATGTAGAAGTAAAAAATAAAAATTTGGAAATTAGATATGAAAATATATAGAAATTCAGTGGTATGTATGAAAATACCTCTAGATTATTATATAAGCATTGGCTGGGCTCTCATATATAAAAATCTCTTGGAAATTCCCTACAAGTCCACTCATACAAAAATCTCTATCTTAAAAGAGATTTAGGCTTCGTTTGGGACGGCCTTCTTACTGCTTCTTAAAGTAGCTTTTTAGTTAAAAAATAATATTTTTTATATTAAAAAGCTATTTTAAGAAGCAATAAGAAAGCCATACCAAACAAAGCCTTAGGCTTAGTTTGTGATAGCTTTTTTATCGCTTTATGAAATAACTTTCTTACCACTTTATGAAATAACTTTGTAGAACAAGAAATTATAATTCAAAAAAAAAATTTGTACTTAAAATTGTTTCCAAAAACAGTAAGAAAGTTATCACAAATGAAACCTTAGAATTACCAGAACCGTTTTCGGTACACGTAATTGATTGGATTCTTCATTTGTAATCACTACAATGTGTTCAACAAATCTGAAAAATAACGCTAAAAGCATGTAAACTACATATGAATATATAAGGATTTCAACAAGTTGATACAGTAATTGCTTAGCAGTTGATGCACTAGCTATTGAGAGTAACCAAAATATAATGGATTGAAATGATTCCCAGTATATATTGAAGTTTGGACACTAATGCAGCAGTCGACGTTGGAGTCATTGGAATACAATAGGTCTCTAGAATTACTTCTTATATTTCTAATCAGTTAATTTTTTTGAAAGATTCTGATCAGTTTTCCACTAAGCAGTAAACATGCGAGTACAAGCAGAAAATTAAAGGATAAAAAGAATTATCTTGATAAATGTTGGAGTTGCCATTAATTTAAGCAAATAAACTAATTGGTTCACATCATGAATTAAAGAAGAAAAACATATATGTAGACATGATCATACCTTATTTTAAGACTTGAAAATAAATGGTCGGCATGGAGAAGATCATATGTTCTTGGATAAGTGCTGAATGATTCGCACCAATCATGATAAATCCCAAAAAGGCCACGTTCATAAATAATGGGAAGGGTGTCCGGTGAATCGATTGGGACAACATTCATGACCCACACCATTAGATCACGTAAAGCGGCAGCAAAACTGCAAAAAACCAAAAAAGAAAGAAAGAACATAAAAAAGCAACCAAGATTATTAAAAAATGTATGGCTGGATCAATGTTTAAAATTGCGTATTCGGGTATTGAGGCGTTTTTCATTCGTGAGGAGAGACGTAAGCCTCAAGACATTTTGGGCGTAAGCCTCAAAATCAAAAGATTGCGTAAACATAAATGATAAATTTTTTATATACCAATGAGTGAATAATATAAAACATAAAAAAGCTTAAGATATGAAGTAAAATCAAAATATCTCAATAATAAGACAACATGAAATATAGTTCAACTCAAAATTCTATCTTTCCAAAATCCAAGTATTCTTTTCATTAACATATAATTCAAATTTCCAAAAAAAAAAAGCAATGACATATCACATAAGAACTCATTAGTCATCACCACTGACACCACTAAGGGGTTCTTCATTTGAATCATCATTATGATGAACTGCTCACTCCCCTTCCTTCTCTCCTATAGAGTCCAATGTCGGGCATTTACTTCAAGATTTATGTAAGTTTTAATATATATATCGTGAGGCGTAAGCCTCATACCAGTGAGGCGAGGCGGGCCTCAACCAAGTTGAAGCGCAAGCCTCATAAAAAAAACTAGAGGCGTAAGCATCGAGGCGTTTTTTATTGGAATTGCACAAAGGCGAGCCTCATATTGCGCAATTTTAAACCATGGGCTAGTTATTGTAATTAAATTTCTGCATAAAAGAACTTTGGAGCTTACTTTCTTTCAGCAAATCAATTAAATAGAAAAATGGGTCATTTATCTCAAGATAATATGGTTAAACCTTGTTGTGTGCGAGACGATCATTTGACTATAAATCTTCAAATTTGGAGTCCGTTTAGTCTTTCAAATAATTTCAGAAGTTTTTTGGTCAGCTTTTGAGTGCTTTGACATATTCAATTTTGCATCAAAATTATGATTGATTAATGGGAAATTTTGCGATCCAAATTACTACATCCTATTTTTGGACATTGCAATATGAAAAATATCGCAAGTCTAAAAAAATTCAGAACCTAAAATTTGTTGCAAATTCGGTTTCATGGATTATGTTTTGATGATTAGCAAACACTCTTGCTTCTTTTCGACTGCCTTTTACTACTGACATTTTCAGGATTAAAAGATCGGACGGAAAACGGAATCAGCTCAAGACTGGGTAGATTAGGGTTGAGTCATAGAGAGTAAACTATCATTATAAGAAAATTTATCGAGCTGGATGGATAATACTTTTTGAGGGAAACTAATGCTTTCTATAGTAAACTATTAGTCCATTGAAAGTATAAATTGGCGAAGAAAATGACGAACTTTCCAAAATTTTGGCTTACGACCAAATATAAGAGAGCAAGTTGCCCTCCACTCCTATAGGACGCCCCTTTGTCCAATTAATATGAGAATTTCACTAAAAGCTAGTCTAGTTGTACTGTTGGGGGTGTTGACCCCCAAACTCTTCACCATTACATGATAGTGACTAATAGATTTGTCATTAAAGAAATCCGAAAACCTTGCATAGGTTTTAAGAGTTTAAGTTGTAGCTCAACCAATCTCTTGGTCAATTAGTTGGTCCTACCCAATGGTTATAGTCTATGGCGTAGAAGGTTGAGGGAGATCCACTAAGAATTTTTTAAATATCTCAAATTGTCAGGTTAAAGGTAACTTGATGATTTTAACACATAGTAGAAGAAAATGAAAAAAAATCCACAAAATATTTTTGACTTATCCTCTAGATTATGAGTTAGACCATGACTCGATGACTTCAACATTATGGTGGAAGATATTGAGGATCTTTAGCCAACATTGAGTCATTAGTTAAAGCATAACTCAATAACTTTAACAAATAGCAGAAAACATACTCCGCCCGCTCGTTTGATTGCTTTTTGTTTTGGCGAGGGAGTTTTAACGGACTAAGTTCTGGGGTAAATTTTGGAAGGCAGATGGGTTTGTAGATAAGACACTACCCAGAGATTTCACCCTTATTTTGCGAGGACTTTATGATCTAAGTTCTGGTTTCCTATAGGCGCAAGCCCCTATAGTTAATTACCTCTCCCAATAATGAAAGAGAACTTTCGATTAAGGCTAGTCGTCAATAAGATACGTAGTATCTGGCATATAGTAGCAGCATGGGTATTTGGAATGGTTGGAGAATTTGGGAATTTAGAGTTTGTAGGTTTGGTATTTAAAATAGAAATTTTCACCATTTTGCACTTAAAGCGGATGGTGGGGGAATGGATGATGGACCCGATCAAGATCCCATGGTTCCGTCGTCCCGGGCCATCGTGGTCCCTGGTCTACTTAGTCAGAGGAGGTAGTCACCTAACCTGACAGAAGGATCCTTGTCGGCAGCCATGGGTTGCTTCGTCCAAAGGTACCTTGTAGACCTGGGGTGGTTATTTGCCTAAGGGGACAAATTTGAATCCACCTTAGCTAACAAAGGGCTTTGTGCCATATCGATCATATTTATTGATTCATATCTCAAGGATTTGATGACACTAAGAAGCATATTGGCTCTGGCTATAACCGGTATTTCGTGGTGCCATTTGACGGAAAAACCACTCGGTTAAGAGGGCCCCGGGCCATAACCGTTTATCCTACGGTACCATTTGGCGGCAAAACTGTCGGTTAAAAGACACGTACCATGTCCTTACTTGAAGTAGATTGTTTGAGAATGAATCCTAGTGATATTCACGACCAGGCATTAGCTCTACGTGAGCTAAAGTAAATTTCAATTTGTCCACCTCGACAAATTGTTACGGATGGTGGATGAGTTTTTCTTTTAACTGTTAATGGATTAATTTCAATCTTAAACATCTTGGATTTTGAGATTTCTGAAATTTTGAATTTTTGGGAGCTTGGGTGGCATTTGAAAATATCTAGAGTTAACCCCTCCGATTGAGATTTTCCATCAACACGGCTATCATCAGGGTGTAAGGGGGTATTTCTCTTTATTGATTGAACCCTGTCGACCCTATCAACTTGCCGATAGGAGATCGGTTTTGTAAGTTTTATGTCTTTATTAGTGAATTCTATTGATCATAAGTTTTGAATGCCTAATATGAATGTATTAAAATAAATACATAGGTTGCCATAACCGTGTATTTGTTTGAAGGTTCGAACCATGTCAACTCCTATTGATCTGCATATGAGGATCAAGTTTGAACTTGAATTCACTTATTGACCCGCGCAGCATCCCTAGACGTAACGTGTATACTTATAACACACTCTCGAGGCCCATACGGGTCAAGATTGTATTTTTCCCTTTTAGTGTACCTATGTGTATACAAACTACGGTGCACGTGCGGGGATACTTTAAGATATTTATAAATGACTTATGTCCGCTTGCATGAATGTTGCGGATCTGATGGCGTGTTGTAGCAGCTTCTGAATTGAGTTATTCGCTGCTTTATACAGGTAGACTATCGTGCACTACTTGTTGCTTTCTGGAAGTAGATCATAGTGCACTAAATAATCTCATGCCATGATTGTAGATGCTTGCATTCATCATAGTTCTTTGGCATTTGTTCGTAAATTATATGTAATATTCGTAGCGGGATTTCAGCAGAAGCTCGTGGGAGTTTGTATATGTTGTATTTTTTATGCACTTTGATGTGGTATTTGGCTCATGTAGTACATTCACCACTGCTACAAATAGGTAAGTAAATGTATTCTTTCACAAATTAAAATTGACTACAGGATATTGCATTTACTGAAGTCTTTCTATAACTACCCATAAGTGGCATGTGACGCGTACATCTATCTTCGTAGAGAGATCATGTATGTATTTCAGATCTTTTTATCTGCTACAAAAAAGTATCTGATACATATGATGGACCTCTTGCAACAATTTGAGAGTACTTACGTTTATTAAATTTGCTTTACAAAGATAATAAGTTGAATGTGTAACGGGTCTTCTACTGTTGTTCACATGTATCTGCATTTATCACCACTCTTCTATAATCGTGTAGGACGTGTTTCTCACAACAACTCGTACGCATTTTGCATTTGCTGCATGTTCTTCTACATAGCATCTTTGATGTGCATCTGCATTTGTAAGAAACTTATATGTATTGCAAACTTTATGTCCTTGCCTACGGAAGTTTTGTGCATTTGCTTATACCCTTTTTAATCCTTGTAGCAACTCTTACTTGTATCTTCAGAACACTACAAGCTTTTGTTAGTACTTGCAAATGAATGTATTTTCTTGTATTTTGATGTTGAATGCAAGGTATCATTGCACTCTTCACCGATCCTCCCATACAAACTGATCAGTGGACTATTATATCACTTGTACATTGATTAGTAAATTGCTATATTAACTTGCGCCTTGGCTTTTAGTGTACATTGGAGACTGGTATCCTTGCTTGCAAGGTTCATATGAATGTTGCAAATCGGATGCATCGTCTGTAGGTGATATATTGGTTAAATATCTTTGCTCCATCAATTGCGGTCAAATTATATATCTCCTTTGATTTTTTATTGCTTATGAAATTTGGATGCTGAAGAGTTGCTGTATTTTCTTTGGTTTCTATTGACCAATGCTTGCATGTAGATCACATATCTAAATGATGATTGAATTCTTGTTCACAATGAGTTCCACGTCCACTCATTCTCATTGGTTCTCAATATATGTAAGAAGCTGGCACATTTACTTATATGTTACTTATGTATGAAGACTTCTTGTCATGAATTCCATGTTGTCCTTTGAGTTCAAGTTCATTCAAATCTTTTGTTATTCAAATTGCAAGCTCATCCTTATGTTCAAATTGTTAAGTCAAGTTCAACCTCCTTGAAGTCTTGTTGAGCTCAAGTCCTTTCCTGAGTTCAAGTAGCAAACTCAAGTTATTGTTCTTATTTGAGCTCAACTACATTTCAGGCTCCTGATGAACCTCTTCCATTCGTTCGAGTCCCCTGTTATTCAAATTGCAAGTTCATATTCAAGTTATTTGTTCTTATCATTTGATTTTCAAATCAAATGCAAGTTCAAGTC